AATTTATTATTTATATTAATTCTCTCTTTCTCTCTCTATATATATATGAGGAGAGTTCAAACGAAACTAGTATAATTTTTACTAAGTGTTACACTACTCGATAACTTTATATTAAATGTGAATTTTATAAATCTAACCGTTAGATTAAAAATTCATATCAGTTTATATGTGTATATCAAACTTTGTTAAAATTGAACAAGAAATTGAGAGTAATAAACGTGTTAATATTTTAGTATATTTTGAAATAAATATATTACGTCAATTTTGTTTTATAAGAATGAAGTATCAAATCATCTTGGATTAATATAAAATTTTGTATATATGATCTAATAATAAATAATTTTCAATCTAACGGTTAGATTTACAAAATTCATATTTAATATAAAGTTATTGAGCGATGTAACACTTAGTAAAATTTATACCGGTGTCGTTTGAACCTCCTCTTATATCGACCGACTATTATAATGTCATCCGAGTAAGTTTCACCTCAACATCTCAAACTCTAGAGAATATAAATAGATGTATATATACGTTAATTTGTTAAGTCATATGCTTCTTAAAAATGAATATTTATTTGAAGTCTCTTGAAAACTCAAAAAAAAAAAAACAAGTAAATTGTCTTTCCTTATTCTTGTTTGCGATAATATGAGGATATGAAAAATTCTTATAGGAGGAGCTTTCGTAATCGGCTTGCACTCTCTCACAAGTTGACTCTTTGTCTTTTTCTCTCTAGGTTGCCGCCTATCGACCATCTTTTCTTTTACGCTCATAGTCTCAAGTCTCTTTTTCTACTTTTCCCCTTATTTTTTCTCCTTCATCTTTGAATTTAACCACTTTCTCCTTTTTTTCTTCTCACTATACCCACAACACCATACTCCTTACCACGCTATATAATTTCCTTTTGAATTTGGTTCGGTGTTAGTCATGAAGTTTTCCATAGATTTCTTCGTCACTTGTTTGGCAAGTTGTCCCAATCACTACAACACAAATGGTATTTAGCAACATTTAAAAAATGTTACTTAATTATATATAAATGTTAATAATTTATTTTAGAACAATATTATCAAATGTTGTATATAGTTCATATTGCTAAAGACTTTTAGTAACATTTTTGCATAATTAGGTAACATTTTTCAAATGTTATCAAAGTAGTATTTTTGTAACATTTTAATAATTTTTTGTAACATTTTAATGATGTTGCCAAGATTTTGTTAATCTTATAAAATAATAATTAATTTTAATTTAAATATTACTATCAATTATTATATTTCTATGTCTCCTAAACTTCTAGGAATTCCTTAAGTTTTTAGGGAAAAAAAATTTTAGTTAGTCACCACTAATTATATATAGAATATCAAATTTCATTTATCTTAAATATAACTATATTTCGATGTGAGACTTTAATTATGAGTTATAATTAGATATAAGAGAAATATACTTTTTTTGACTCGATGTGGGACTTTGATTTTAGAAGCAATTATAGTAACATTTTTCAAAAAAATGTTGCAAAATAACATGTAAATTTTTTTACTCGATATGGGACTTTGATTTTGAAAACAATTGGAAAAAATAATATTGAAATAAAAAATTTTACTCTATCTATAATGACATTTTTCAAAAAAGTGTTACAAAATAACATTTATATAATATATAGTAACATTTTAACAAATGTAAACAAGAAAATGTTGCTAAAGGATTAAAATCTAGTAGTGAGGACCTTCAAGTTCTTGATTGAAACTTCCATGCTCTTGTAGTTAGACATTGAAACTTGCATAAATTGATGGTCAAAGAATCCTCCAACTTAGTTTGATGGTCATACAAGTTGGGTTGCTATGATTGGTGAAGGTCTATTTGAGAATCCAACTTCATATTGATTTCACCCCATACTAGGGTGAGGTTGCCATTCACCTTTATTGAAATTGTAACTTCAAATCCCGCTGCAATTTACAATCATTGTTAGATATATTTTCAATTAATACCACAGCTTCAACCAGTGTCCTTGATTTCCTCCAGCTATGTTTGTGCATTCATTTTCTGAGTCCAAAAATAAATGATCAACCGAGACCGTTACTCGCATACAATGAAATCTCAAGACACTAAAGCAGACAAGTGAGCACAAGACAATTTAAATAAACAAAAATTGAACATAAAATAAAAGAAAATTAAACCTAAGATAGTAATAAAATTAAAATTTTCTAAAGTATTGATACACAAGTTCTTAACAATGGTGCCATTAACTTGTTAGAATTTTGATAAATATATTGCGTAAATAATAACTTGATAAGACCAAATGTTGTTTTTCCAAGAGACTTGCGTAAAACCATGAAAGAAGAAGACGGAGACAATGGTAATTCATTTTCTGGATTTTCTTTGGGATGAAAATGATGAAAGAAGAAGAAATACAATCAAAATCTTATACATGAGTTAAATAATTCCACTATTCATTTTATCTACTAATTGATCAACTCCTAATAGTTTTTGATGAAAATGAATCCATCAAGCTGCTTTAATGGGAAGTTTGTTTAAACTTAAAATAAGTTATTATGAAAAAAAATGTTTTTTAAAAAGTAATATTTTAAGAAATTGATAAAAAAAAATTGTTTCTTGAAAAATAATTGTTTGTTTTTAACACATAAAAAAAAGTAAAATATTTAGTTATTTTATTAAAAAAAATATTTTTAAGATAAATTTAAACAAACTGCATGCCCAATATTATTTCCTTTACAACCTTGTACCATTTCTTTAATTTTCTTCAAATTAAATTTTGTTCTCTCATTGAATATATCAACTTTAATCATCTATAAAAATATATAAAGAAAATACTTTTCTTTATAACTATTTTTTTGTTTCCGTTTTTAAATGTACCTTTTTATCCCTTATTTATCTCCTCATTTTATTCTAAAATCTAAAATGAATTAATCTAACCTATCTTACTCTTCCATTGTCTTTTATTTTTTATTTAATTTTTTGTTATCTCGTTATTGTACTTTATCATTTCATATTTCTCACCCTCTTTAAATAATTATTCATTTCATGATTTTTTATTGTTTTATTTTAATTTTTTAAGAAATATTGAGGCACAAAGTCCCTCTTTTTTACTTTAATCTACTTTAATGGGATTCAAAAGATTTGGTTGCTTAATATGTTATTTAAGAAGAAAAAAAAATACACTAATATACCTCCTTGAGCTATTTTTTTTATACATATTACATGTATCTTTTATTAGTTAGTTAATTAAGCTATATATTTTGTTTTTCGATTAATTTAAACTTGAGATGATTGATTCTTGTCCCACACGCACTTGTTGGTAGCCCGAGCTACATAAGTAGAGTGTTGAAATCTAATTATTCCCCCTCCTCACCTTTAAACATGCGAAAGTATCTTATATTGGCATATCCTTCTTTAATTCATTTTGCTCTTAATTTTTTTGTACAAAAGGTTCTCCTTCAGTTTTGCATTTTGCCACAGTTAAACCAATAAATATTTTTCATTTCCTTAATTTAATTTGTAATACTTTTTTTGTTTTGCCTTCACATCTAAAAGTTATATGACATATGTTAGCCTCCTAATTTTTATACCCAAATTTCTAAATGAGTCCGAGTTTTGAATTCCCATACAATAGGCTTTGATTCACCCAAAATTTTCATTTTATATTCTAATGTATGAAAGTCAATAGTAAATATTTAAAATTAGTTGTTGATAATAGTTTCAAAAGGAGAGGGAGAATAATAAAAAGTTTATTCTCATTAAAAATAGACTAAATTATATCTTACACATTAATGTTTTGAAAAAGAATAATATAATTTATCAAATTAAATGAGGAAACAATGTATATAATTTGACAGAGAAAAGTGTAAGTTAGCCAATTTTGAAAAATATTTAACATGTATAAATAAACATTAATTGTAAAGTTATTTGTTAATAAACTAATACCGAATTTCTAATTGCTATATAAAAAATTTCGAGGAAGAATATAAGAAATTTATAAGCGTAAAATTAACAAATCATAAAGCTGGTCGGGCACGATGCTAATGAATCTAGATTAGTTTTGATTAAACTCTATCAAAACATACACAATCTAATCTAAGCAGAGGGTTTTGACTTATCTCATTCAATTATCAAACCTATATATGTATTAAAGAAATTAATCAGTAATTAATAATTCCAATGACGGCTAAAAAGAAACATTTATTTTTAAGGAGGCAAACAATAAAAAAGAACCATCTGAATTTTATTTAGGGAAACAGACAATTAAAGTTCACTCAATAGACAAAAATATACTTTATGTGAATAATTTTTTTTTCTTTTCCTTCTTATCCATTTTCCCTCTCTCTTTTACTGTATTTTTTTTTTCTTTTTAGCGGCGAGCTTTTATGTAGGTCAAGGCTAATAAACTATATGAATATATATTGGACCGACTGTGTCTTGTGCCTACTACAAATATTAAAAACTTTTTGAATTTCAAATACATGTAAAATAAATTAATCTTAGCTCCCACAAGTGCATTTTTTTATCAATATTAAAACACACACAACACACAAGTGCATTTAAATTTCACAACTTGTGTTAATTTATTTTTGCCAGCTGGTGTGTGAAAACAAATGACAAGGCATCTAGAGGAAAATTTCAACCCTAACAAAATATATAGGAAGAGGTATTGCACGTCGAGTCAAAACCTCTTGAAATAAGTCAAAAGACTGTTATAAACTGATCAAGGACAATTTGTAACCCTTGTGTCAACAAGCCTATATGTTCATTGATGAATGAAAGAAGAAAAAAAACAATATTTTTTGTAATATAAAGTAATTGTTCAACATGTGCAAGAATTACTTATTAGCTAAGGGTTCAAATATTTTAGGTTTTCTCTTTATCGAAAGGTAACCTAGGTTTCCTAAACAATCATCTAACCTCTCTCTCTCTCACCCACTCCCACACATCCTCCAAAGATATAGACACAACATTTTAACTTCACCCCATGATTTAAAAACTTTATAAATGTGGTTTTCAAAGAAATCAATAAAATAAGTACATAGTTTAATCCCATGATCATTATTTTATTCTTCCGTATACTTTTCTGGTTGTGAGAATGGCTGCAGTTGCCCACTTTATTTGTCTCTCTCTTT